GCTTACTCCACTCTATACATTACCTTATTGGCCAATTTCTTGTTTAGCTCCTCAGCAATGGACTCATTCAGTTTCCTCTCAAACTGCCAGGGAGGAATCCTCACCGTGTCAGTCATCTCCACCAGGACAAACATGGCGAGCTCTGGGGAGACAGGGAGAGAGCACAGCAGCGCCGAGCCGCTTTAGTAACAAGCATTCAGCCCGGGCCTTGCCCGAAGCGCGGAGGGGCAGCACTCTGCGCCTTGTGAGGGGCAAAGTAAGGGGACGAGTGGGGTTAGAGACCAGTTAGGCAGCGCTCGGCCTCCCCACGAGCCCACAGCCACGCCAGAGCAGGCCCCTGACCTGTGAGCCCGGAGCAGACAGCAGCAGGCCCACAGAGACAGCAAAAACCCCGCACCGCCTCAAACCCACCTGACACACCGAACGCCGCCGCGCGCTGCCCGTCCTCACGGCGACTTCCGGTATAGGAGCCAATCGCCTTCGGGGGGCGGGGAGACGGATTCTGATTGACGTGTGTCCGGACCTACCGCACAGCTCTGTGCTGTGCGGAGGCCCCGCCCCTGGCTCCGCCTTCAGGCCCGCCTCAGGTGGGGGCGGCCATTTTGTCTTCCTGTGGGGGAGGTGGGCGCTGTGTATTACTGAGGCGCTCCGTTCAGTGGAGGGCTCAGTTTCTTTAAATAAAACGTGAATCCGTGAAAAATTTTCCGCAGCTGCCCGTCTCGTGATAGGGGTTGTGGAAAACGAGAGGTTGTGCCCGTGCCCGGGACGTGCCCCAAGACATGGAAGGAGCTGCGGGGTGCTCAAAAGAGGACTGAGGAAAACCCACGTGTCTGCGGCTGACAGGCATAACTGTGCTGTCAGCACCGCGGCTTTGATGCCGACACGACGGGTGTCACCCCCCGCACCCTGTGGCAGTGTGTAGCAGGCGGTAATGAGTGCTCGGGATGAGAAATAAGTTAAACGTTGAGCTGTCTTGGAGCGGGAAGGGGAAAATGAGGCCACAAATACCGCATCTCAGCCTCATTAACAAGAGATCTGTGGTGGCTGAGGAGTTTCTGATCTGTCTGAAATTATTCCTGCTCCACCAGGGTGTCTTTTTTTGTGATGATTAAATGGCCATTCTGCACATGTTTAGTGTGTTGGCATAGCAGGTGATGGAGGATCCAGTTTTCCTTCCCAGGTCCCTGGGAGGAGTAGTGTTAGTGTCAGCAATGAGCTCTGCATGCACTGCTGTTGAGACACCTCACCCCAAATCCACCTCAGCCTACTTCAGGAGCTGTACAGAGAGTCTTTCTCTTCTCCATGGCAGTGGCTGTGCTAATCAGGGTAAACAGCACAGTTCTGCTGGCATGCTCACTGCATCCCTCGCTGTTCTGTCCTGGCCCCATGCAGGTTGGATGATGCTGGGACTGACCTTTAGCTGCAGGTTTTGCAGGTCACTGTAGCTGCCTTTTCAGAAGGTGCTGTAGTTCTTCAGCACGTCCCTCTTCTGACAGCAGGGGAAGAAATAGCCTTGGTATCACACCAGAAGTTAGGTCATGTGTTGATACTAGCAAGGTGATCACTCTGGATGTGTATGTACACTCTTTTGTACATAAGAGCTGGAAGGTTAAGTAGGGGCAATACAAGGTGCATACCTGGAATAATACAGGAGACTGGGTGAACAAGTGGATTAGGATGGTCACACCACATTTGCATTTCTTGCCTGCCCTTGAGCTAACATTTTTCATGCTTCCAACAATCACGACCCAATGGGGGGCTGCTGGGTGTCCAAAACAAAACAAACACATCTCCTTCAACCTGTTGCGCAGCCCTGAGCCCCAGCTATGTGACTAGGAGGTCTGCAAGGCATTTTCTCCTTCTGGCCCATGTCTAATGGATGGTTCCTTGATGTTCTATGAAGTGCAATGGCAGTCAGATGAGCTGCACTGCCTTGAGATACCAGGCTACCAGCCCCACTAGCAGTTCATCAGCTTCTACCAGAAATGTCACATTCTGCCAGAAATGCTTTCCTGCAGATAACCCCTCCAACTCCAGCATGGTGCACACCTGGAGCTTCAGGGAGGTGATGGCTGTTGCACTGCTGCTGACTGGGTTTTCTCTGTGGAAGAATTCTATATTTCCATCAGCATTGGTCATAAGCGTTGTCTCTGATGTAAAAATATAAAGCCAAATCTTGCCTTGTAAAATGTTGCTGTCTCAACCCTGCTGTAGATAGCACCCAGCAGCACACTGTATTTCACACTGCAGCTAAAGTAGTCTGATGTTGGAAACTGTGGGAACAGCCCCATCTTGCTGAGCACTTTCTTTTTGTCCCTATAATACTGACATGTGAAATAGCCACAGATTCACAGAGGCCGTGCACACATTTTTGTAACCATGATGTCTCCAGAGTCTCTCAGTAGTGTTGAGAGCATTGAGGTTTTGCCAGCATATGGGGACATGGTTCTCTGCTGCTGTTTTCCTGCTGCTTAGAGAAAACCCTAGGCATGTCTCATCCTCACAACTGCAGAAAACTTGAAAACGCAATCTGAAGTTACGTGGAGGCTCAGGAAAATGAAAGAAACTCCCAAATTGTTTTGCTTATGATCTCCTCTGCCTCCACATTCCCAGGGCTTTTGGGGAAAACTGGCTCAGGGATGTTGTAGGCGGAGGTGAGGGATGATTTGCATCTAGGTTGCTGAGCCCTGCTTTGATTGACTCCAAAGGATTTACGTATCTTCTCACGTACAAAGTCCTCCACGCTCCTGTCTTTGCTTCTGTCTCCACAGGCATCTCTAGCACCCCCTCTCCCACTCTGATCAAAGCTTCTCCTCTTCTCCTTTTATCATTGCTACGCTTTGGACTCCCTGCCTTCTCCACTGCAACACATGCCCAGAGCTGTCTGCCTGTCTAATGCACCTCAAGTTCCCTTCAGAGCCCCCACTGACTATACAGGAGAGTCAGCCTGATGCTCTGTCTTGTTTACCACTTGCAGCTGGGCACACGGCTGACCCTGGTGAGGATGAACAGCTATTGATGATGTTCAATGTACAACAATTCAATGGACACCTGGGGAAGTAGAGGGTGTGCCCATGCTGCACATTCCCAGCATTCCTCCAGTTCTTCGCCCTCCTGGGCTGCCAGGGGTGAGCTGTCACCAGGAGAGGATGGGCTGGCTCAAGAGAGACTTGGACCAGAGACTGGAACAGGTGGCTGCGTTTCTCCTCTGCTTCTTTTGCAAGCTTCTGAAGGGTTGTTTGGGTGGATGAGCCTTGTGGCATCTGTAGGTGGCAAATGGGACTCGTGTTTGTTGCGGAAAACTTGAAAAGCCACAACTAGAGGGAGATAGGCACTGACAGAACCTCAAACATGCCAGCCTGGTCCATTCCCCTGCTGCAAAATGAGGCCAGTATCACCCAACTCCCCAGTGGATGCATGCCTGTTATGTTTTAAAAAATCTCCTGTGATGGAGACTGGTGCTTACCCAGGCAAAACACTGGAGTAATTAGCTATCTGTTCTGTTAGAAAGTGTTTCCTAATATCTAGCATCAGTCTTGCTCCTTGCAAGCCCCATTGCTCCTCACTCCAACAGACACAATAAACAGTTGATTCCTGTCCTCATTGCAGCAAGTGCTCCTATCACACCATGACCCCAGGAGAGGAACTCTGGGGGCGATTCATTATGTTGCCTCTCCCCACAGAGATAACTCTCAAGCACGGTCCTATTGGCACAGGGCAGAAGAAAAAGAAAGGATCTTTTGGGATGGGGACCTGCCATATGGCAACTCCAGGGAGGTGATGCTCAAAAAGCAGAATTCCCCCCCTGACCATACATGCCATACAGGGAGAAGAAGCAGGACCTGCGCCAGCACGGGATGCGGCATCACCATGTGAGGAATCATGTTGGGCTCGTGTCCCTCTCTTTGCTGCCCAAGCCCGAGCCCCTGATTGTGCCATGGAGTGACTGTGCACTGCGGGGTGCCAGGGGGCTGCAGGCAGCAGGAGCTGGGGAGAGCTGCAGGAACACCAGCAGGGTTTGGGAAGATGTGGGGAGAAGCTGGAACCCCTCGCTGGGTACACGTGTCCCCCACCACATTGTCCCCGCAGCCTGCAAGGCTGCCTCGTGCCGTGTCAGGCCGTGCCACCGACGTGGCCATGCGTCACGGTGCTCGAGCAGAACGATGCAGCCCCTACACACCCCCCCCCCCCCCCCCTTCGGAACGGCGATGACCAGCCTGATCCCTCCCACCTGCCTGCTCCCCCTGGCCTGGCCCTGACGTCAGGGAAGGCGTGCGGATGCGTGTGTGCAGGCTGCACATCATACACACATCAGGCACCGCACAGACATCGGGAGGCAGCCGGCAGCCGGCAGCGGAAAAGCCCCCGGAGCCGGGCTACATGCGAGAGCTCTGCTCCTCGCCGGGCAGCAAAGGAGCGCTTCCCCGTCCCCACCGTGCGCTGATGCTCTGCGATCCGCAGCTCCAGGGAGCCCCTCATTGCTAAGGAGGTAAGGGCAGGCACGACGGCCGTCGGCTATTGTAGCCAAAGGTTCAGCTTCATGCACGGTGTTTGCTTACAGGGCTGCTTTTTATTTTGGGAGAAGTGTGAGGGTGAAGTGTGGCATCCCTCCTGTTTTCCTCTCCTGATTCCCCAGCAGCTCCCAGACAATGCCTCCTCCGGGGCAGGCAGTGCTGCATGGCCACTGTTGCTGGGGGCACATCATGCTGCCAAACCGGGCTCAGCTGGCACCAGCTCTCCATCACCGACAGCAGGAGAAAGCGGCGGGTGAAAACCTGTCCTGGTAGAGGTGGGGGCTTGAATGGACGTTTCTTTGGGGCTGGCTGTGCTATTCATTCCTGCAGACAGTAAGTTAGATCACAAAGGAGAGAGAAAGGATGAAAGGATGTGGATGGGGACATTTGCGTGAGGTCTTTGAGCCGACAATACTCTGATTTAAAATCACAGCCAACCACAACCGGGCAAATCCCCCAAACCCGGTTGTCGGGCAGCGATGCTTTATGCATATATACTCCAAAGGTAAACCAAGCCTCCATGATGGCTTCTGCTCTGGCTTCCTTTGGCTTGTGGCAGCTCTCCCCACGGCCTCCCTGAGAATCCGGCAGTACCGACGGAGGGAGCTTTTTATAATCAATCCATAAAGGTGACATTCATATTTTAGCGCTAACGAGGCTGTATCGTAGGCGAGACGATCTCAGCAAAGATGCTTGGAGTTGTGAGTGTGATTGGCTTAGATGGGGAGGAGAAGCTTTAAGTGTGTGTTCCCAATGAAAGCTGGCTTATCTTTTGTATAGCGATTCATTTCAGCCAAGGGGTTTTTAGCATGCAGGATACGTGGAGGAAATTGTTCCACTCTTCTTTAGCTCTTAATGGCATGATCTAGTAACCAAAAAAAAAGAGGGAGGGGGGCTATGGGGCTTTCATTAGCATTGGACAGAGACGGCATTTAGAAAACCTGAGAGACGCCGGGGCTGCAAGGACAGAGGACGGCTGAACGTTTGCTTCCCGGCTGCCCCCTCCTGTTACAACAGCCCCTTTCTGGGTCCAAAAGATGAAACCCACAATTTCACACCCAGCTCCCGGGCCACGCTCCGATTCCCAAAGGGATGGCGCAGGGTTGCAGCCCCCTGGACTGGTGGGAGGCCCAGAACCCCAGGGCTGGGTGAAGGCAAAAGGATCCCAGTGGGGGGAAGGAACACAAAGAGGAGCTGTGTGGGAGGGCCGGGGGGCTGAGGGAGATGACACCAATTAAATATGGATTGCGGGTGACGCGTGAGGGCTTCGTGCTGCTGCTGCTGCTAACGACCGGGGAGTGACAGCGGCTGGAGCTTCTGGGCCACTGCCTCACTGTGGGGCTGTGGAGTTAAACCGGGTCACAGCAGCACCCACCCGAGGGTATGTGTTTATGAGGAGTGGGGCAGACAGCGACTTGTTTGATGAGCTGCATCGTGACGAGCGAGGCTCTTGGATCTGCAGATAAAAGCCGACGTGTCTCCTGCCTGTCTATCCTAATTGGTGCGGGGTTGGTGCACGCGCCCGCTGGCAGCTCTGCACGGAGGCCTTCTCTCAAAGAAACAGGGAGGCGAAACCGTGGCTGTGCCGAGGCAGCGAGTTCTCTGGTCCCCAGCCTGCAGCAGCCTTAGCTGCCCTGGATTTCATCCCCACAGTGTGGCTGAGTGCGGGGTGGGCGCAGGGAGGACATACCCACAGCTCCCCTCTGTGGTTTTCCCCTTCCCTTTGTTTGCTGCGGGGACTCAGAAGAGGTGGGAATCAGTGTCCCAAGGGATGTGGGCCCTGTGGGCCCCTTCTCTGATGTCAGTCTTGCCTCTAAGCATTCTCCTGTCTTGCTGCTTCTGTTTCTATGTGGGATCGTGGTGCTGAGACGGCCATGGGCGGTGGGTGATGAGAATGGGCGTGCTCCTTCCCCACCGTGCTGTCTGCTCCAGAAACCTTTTCCCATGTCCTTGGTGCTTGCTAATTTCGGAGCAGAGGTGACCCCTTTCTTCACGTTCCCCGAGGGCCCTCACCTCTCAGTGTGAGTCGGAAAGCAAATTAAAGGCTCTCTGGGTTTCCTGGCATGCAATCCCAAATACACCACATGGGTGTGGGGGGCTAAGGGAGGTGCATCGTGTTAGATGCAGCCACCGAGGGGGAAAGAAATCCACAGGGTGTGGGGTTTCTGAGCAACTCCAGAGCCAGGAGGCTTAAAAACACACAAAACCCTAAAAATGTCACCAATTAGGACAGCCTGCCCATGCCTGTGCCAGCTCCTGCTCTTTGGCATGTGACACCTAGCTCCATCCTCCCGCCAATCATCCTGCAGCTGAACGTTGGGGTTTTTCTGCTTTTGGGGGCCAAAACACATGGGCTTTAATTCAGGGCTCAAACAGTGTGATGCTGACCAAGAACCTGAGGTCGATGGCCTCAGCTGACCTGTAACTACTCCCCTGTTCTCCCTGCAGCTTGCTGAAGCAGACCCCTGCCTGCTGCTCCCCACACCCAGCCCCGAGACGGAGCACCCCGCCGACCCCACCATGTCATCAGAGCCCGGCGCCCCGCCGGCCGTGCCGCCTCTGCACTCTCCCAAGTCCCCGGTCTGGCCCACCTTCCCCTTCCAGCGTGAGGGCAGCCGTGTCTGGGAACGGGGCAACCTCCTACTGCGGGACCTGCCCAGCCCACTGCCCACTAAGAGGACCAGGACCTACTCTGCGTAAGTACCCAGCAGTCCGCAGGGGATTCTGGAAATGTCTCTCTGGCTGCATGTTCAGACTTCTCCATCCCTTTCCTCCTGCAGGACGGCACGTGCTTCTGCCGGGCCCATCTACAAGGGTGTCTGCAAGCAGTTCTCCCGCTCACAGGGCCATGGGTTCATCACTCCAGAGAACGGCACAGAAGACATTTTTGTCCATGTGTCTGAGTAAGTCCACACAGTGCTGGGTATATGGGGGATAGCCGGTGACCCGGGGCTGGGGTGATGCTGTGTCCGTGGGTGATGGTGCATCCATAGCTGATACTCTTATCTCCATATATCTAAGATCCCACTGCAGGTGGGTTTCTCCCATGTGCTGGGTGCCTTCCTTGGTGCTGGGGGGCTCCATCTCTCAGCCCCACGGCCCCATCGCCTCCCCTCTCCTCTCCCACAGCATCGAGGGGGAGTACGTCCCGGTAGAGGGGGATGAGGTGACGTACAAGGTCTGCCCCATCCCTCCCAAGAACCAGAAGTTCCAAGCAGTGGAGGTGGTGCTCACCAACCTGGCGCCCCATACGAAGCATGAGACGTGGTCTGGGCAGATCATCGGCTCCTAGGTGCCTGGGGGGCCTGATGGCCGCTCGCGGGGAGCTTGGGGAAGGCTGGGCTGGCGAAGAGGCTGGGGCCACTCCTCAGCACGCAGGTGTTCACGTTCGGTGTCTTTTCTAAGGTTACAGTTTCCTTTTTGTGTGTGTTTGTACCTGTCTTTGAGGGGGATGGGGAAAGCGGTGTCCTCCCCACTGACTCCCCAGCTCCTGGGGTAGCACTGAGTCCCACATCCTTGAGCCCAAGGGGAGCGGGAGGACTGATCCTGCCCCCATCCCACTGCAGCCTGGGGCTTGTGGGGGGCTTGTCCCCGCCTCCCCAGCCCTGCTCTGGCCAGATGGGCAAATCACTGTGCCGGGAGGGGACAGCTCAGCCCCTTCTGCCCCCACCACCCCAGCCCCCCTGGAACCCCGTCCTGTGCGTGCCTGTGTGTGTGTGTCCGTAGGTCACCGTGGGGCTGAAGGGTTTGGTGATCTCCCTCTGCTCATGTTCCACACCGACACCTCCCGCCCCCTCGGTGTAGACAGGGTCTCGTATATAAAGCACAAATTAGTTCTCAGTCCTCTCTGCCATAGCTTGGCTAGGTGGGCTCCTGCGGCCTTGGGAACGGGAAGGGGAACCTGGGAGTTGTGAGATGTGGACGTAGGGATGGCCCCATGCCATGCCCCAGGCAGTTAGCCTGGCCAAGACAAACTGTTGGATTTTTCTTTTTTCTTTTCTATTTTTTGGGGAAATAAACTAAAATCCTAGGATTGTTGGTGTTTTTACAACTCTGGTGTGGTTCCTGCCTGTCTGACCTTGTGTCAACCTTTGTAACATTGGCAATAAACCATTAAAAGTGACTTTCCCACGAGCCCTGCCCATCCTGCCTTTTTGTGTGTAAGTGCACCCTGCAGGGGACCCAGGAAACCCAAGGCTTGCCTCAGACACTCACCAATGCTGTGCACTGCACCTCAACTTCAGCAGAACTGCTAGAGAGGTTCCAGAGGAGGACCAGAAAGATGCTCAGAGGGCTGGAGCACCTCTCCTATGAAGACAGGCTGAAGGAGCTGGGCTTGTTTAGCTTGGAGAAGGCTGCAGGGAGACCTCACTGCAGCCTTCCAGTACTTAAACAGAGCTTATACAAAGGATAAAGTTTTTACACAATCTAATAGTGACAGGATGGAGGGAATGGCTTTAAAGTAAAAGACAGGAGATTTAGGTCAGATGTTAGGAAGAAATACATTATTCAGAAGGCAGTGAGGCAGTGGCACAGCTGCCCAGAGAGCTGTGGGTGCCCCATCCCTGGGGGCTCAAGGCCAGGTTGGATGGGGCCCTGGACAGCCTGAGCTGGTGGGTGACAGCCCTGTCCATGCTAAGGGGTGGGACTGGGTGGGCTTTGAGGTCCCTTCTGACCCAATCATTCTGTGATTCTGATTCCCTGGTCCTGCAGGGCCTGCACCCAACACTTGAGGGCAGAGCAGAGCTTGCACACACTGACAACTGCACACTGTGGCTTTAATAGGATTTGTATACATATATATTTATATATTTATTTCTTTAAATTTATTTCTAATCTAACAGTTGGAACCAGTCAGACAGGAGCTGCCCATCTCGCACAGATACAGCACCATATGGTCCCCACCACATCCACTCACTCACACACCCATGGGAAGAAACCCGTGGCCGTGCTTTGGGGCAAAGGGAAGCCTCTCTGCCTCTGAGATACTCCAGAGAACCCAGCCAGACTGCAGCCAGAGCTACGGCAGGACAGGTTGTCCCCTCATTCACAGCACAGGCAGCCCTACAGACAGCACAGGGAGCAAACAGATCACCTCAGCCCCCAGGGCCACCACGGTGCCTTGCAGCCTCACGGCCAAAAAAATACAGAAATCCTGCTGACTTGGAATAGACTCACAGGAAAAATAAACCACAGCCTGATCCTCAGTGAAAGAGGAGAACCACAAAACACAAGGTTCCTCCATGAGGGTTGAAGTGGAGGGTCAAAATGGCAGCCCGTGAAGAGGGCACTCCGCATTCAGGCTTCTCCAACATGTCCCCCTCTCCCACAGAGATTTTATCTGGGTAGAGAGGTATATGTGCATTTGTTGGAGATTTCTGGATGCCAAGCCACTGCACTCATGCAAATTGGACACGTTACAGACTGATGTGTTTAAGAGGTACCGTCACACGGAGAAGAAAGCACCCACCAGAGCTGGTCACACACCACTGTAGCGTGAGCAGGGCCAGGCAGCGGGACCAAAGTCCTCTCAGGGACTGTGAAAAGCTGCCCCAGGCACTGAAGCACCAGCTTCTGCTTTGGTCCCGTGATTAAAGGGTGGCAGCCTTTGGGAAACTTCTCTCTGAGCCCCAGCTCCAAGGTGGGGCCACAGAGACGGGCAATGACAGTGCGAGGACAGCAGGAGGAAGCAGGATGTACCAGGAGAGCCGAGCACTGGGAAGGAAAGCGACTTAGTCTGCTGTGAATGCCTTGGGTAAGGCTTTCTAGTAACATATCTGTGACACGTGATGGACACACGGATGGCAAGACTGAGCACTGGTAAAGTCTGCCAAGACAGGCTGCGGGGTCTCCTCCTTGGAGACCTCCAAATGCCATACACCCGGATGTAGGCCTGGGCACCCTGCTCCAGGTGTAGGGTTGGGCCAGATGGACCCAAAGGTGCCTCAGCCATGCTGCAATTGCGTGCAGGCTTCTGGGAAGCGCCCTGGCAAAGGGGGAGGGGAACATGAGAGGCAAATTCCCTTGTGCAGAGGTGTTGGAAGCGCAACACAGCTAAACAGAGAAGGGAGCAAGGGAAGGATGGACAGACATGCACATGGACAGACGTGGTTAAATTTGGCCCTGGCATTTGGATCCTGAAGGCAGGAATGTATTGCTGCCCACCGAGGCCCCAGCCGGCAAGAGAGAAGTTCTGCTGGAGGAAGGACTGCCTGGTCCCACAGACCTCAGCTGTGACAAATTGGGAGTGCCAAAGGGCTGACCAACAGCCCCCTTCTGCACACCCCCTGGACTCACACAACAGCTCCTGACCAGCACCGGCAAGTGTTTTTCAGTCTACCCTGAGCAGATTCCTCAAACGAAGGTGCTTTTCCTTGTGGGGGAGAGAAGGGAGAAGGGCTGCAGGGCCCTCACAGTCAGCACTCATTTGCTCTCTCTGGAAAGAAGATTTCACGGCATCGCTGGACCGTGTCCTGGGGGGACTGGACGCTGTGTCCCACCGTTCGGGGGTCGTCGTAGATTTCATAATCATTCCCTCCCTGCAGGGGAGCAGAGAACAGGGAAAGCATTAGCAGAGTCTCCTTGGAGAATCTGCATCCTGCAAGGAGCCTCCATTTGCTGCTGCAAACACGCGGAGAGCATCCCCCACTTGCACACCACTAAAGGGTTGTGGTAGCCGCTGGAGCACCACGGGCACCACCGAGTGAGGAGAAAGCAGCCATGTGAGGGGTGAGCAGGTTGTACTCACAGGGGTGGTCTCGTTTCCAAAGAAGTGGATGGTGTCAAACCTCTCATCGTCCAGCACGTTGAGGCAGTAGCGCTTGTCCCAGCCCTCCGGGAAGACGTCAAAGCTGATCATGCCACCTGCCAGCAGAATGGTGAGTGTTAGCAGAGCGGCCTTGAGGTGGTGGGATGTCCCCCTGCCCCAGACTTGGGGGTCAACCTGGAGCCCTCCCCATACAGCTGTGCCCAGTGGCTCTCTGGCATGTGATATTAGGAGGTCGCAGATGCTGTTTCTATGACAACAGGCTGAATGAAATCAGCAGGGCTGGGTGACAATAGCAGGACTCCATGCCACACGTGCAAGCAGGCAGCAGCAGGCTGCAGGGGGAGCTGGTAGGGAAGCACCAGACATCCGTGTGCTGCTAAGATTTGGAGCTACACCTTGCAGATAGTATCAGTGTGTGCTGTGTCGGGGCAGCAGGGGACAAAGCACATGTTGTCAGCTACTGGCACTGAGAACTCTCCCAGGCTCCTGCATGGACGTCACACTCTCCTGCTTTGGAAATAACTGAAATAAAATGCTGCACTGCATTATATTCTCCCCTTTCATGAGAGCTGGGCAGTGAGAAGAGCTCCTGGTGCCAGCTGGGAGGGGCAGGAAGCGAGTCAGAGTATGGAGAAGCAAGATACCAAGGACACCAAGCACTGCCCCTTGCCAGGGCACAGCACGGGGCTGCAGTGAGGTCTCCCATTGCTTCCCACCTTCCACAGCCTGGGATGAGGCTCTCACAGCCAGCTTGTCCCACCAGCCTCATTTCCATGTGTCCTTGCCCCTTTGCCCTCTGCCCAGATTTCCACCTTCTTATGTTACACAAAGCTCTGCAGAATGTCTCTTTTTGGCTTCAGCCCTGTCCCTTAGATAACCTCATTTCTCCCCCAGTGCTGGCCAGGTTCCCAGGATAGCTGAAGCCTCTCCTTAGCTCCCTGCCTTGTCTGTAAAGCACCTCTAGCCCCAGAAGCAGCCCTACAAAAGCTCATGACACACAGTGCCAGCTCTTCTTCCAAGGAGAAGGATGTTTCCCTAGCTGCCAGCCCTCCAAACAAAACTCTGAGCTGAGAACACGAGGCCCCTTCCTCTCACACCACTGCATTCCTGGAGGAGCCCTGCAGAGGACTGAATGTGCCCAGAGCTCTGCTGGCAGCCCTGCTGCTGTGCTTGAGCCAGAGCAGAGCTGCTGCACAGGGGTGGGCTTAGCAGAGCTATGAGGAATAAGGCACTGGTAGCGTCATGGGACAGAAAGCAGTCGGCTTGGCTGATGCTCAGAGGAAAAACCTACGGCACAGTTTATTCCTGGAATCATAGTCTCACTAAGGTTGGAAAAGACCTCTAAGATCATCTAATCCAACCGCTGAGCCATCACCACCTTGCCACTGACTTGCTGCAAATGCAAGCATGTTCCTCCCATGGCAGCTCTCCAGGAATTGCAGCTTGCTGAGCAGTCTCTGGGGTCTTACCAGAGAGCACAGCCTCTGGGATCCTGGATCCTCACAGGGATCAGCCTCATTCCCATTCTCCATCACACGATTTTAAGGGGAATGCAATGAAGAGGC